TCTTCTAGATATCAACCTAGGCAAAGAATTTATGAAAAAGATGCCAATGGCAATCACAGCAACAAGAAAAATAAATAAATGGGATTTCATTAAACTAAAGAGCTTCTACACAGCTAAGGAAACAATTAAGAGAGCAAATAGACAACATACACTATGGTAGAAAATATTCACAAGCTATATATCCGACAAAGGGCTAATAATCAGAATCTGCAAAGAACTCAAGCAAATCAGCAAGGAAAACAAACAAACAATCCCATTAAAAAGTGTGCAAAAAACATGAAAAGAAGCTTTTCAAAAGACGATAGGCAAATGGCCAATAAACTTATGAAAAAATGCTCAACTTCTCTAATCTACAGGGAAATGAAAATTAAAACTACAATCTCCTTACCCTTGTTAGAATGGCTTTTGTTAAAAAGTCTAAAAACAATAGATGCTGGCGTGGATGCAGAGAGAAAGGTATGCTTATACTGTTGGTGGGACTGCAAATTAGTACAACCTCTATGGAAAACAGTATGGAGGTTGCTCAAAGAACTAAAAGTAGACTTACCATTTGATCGAGCAATCTCATTACTGGGTATCTACCCAAAGAAAGAGAGGTCTTTCTATCAAAAAGACACCTGCACTCAAATGTTTATTGAAGCACAATTTACAGTTGCAAACATGTGGAATCAACCTAAGTGCCTACCAATTTGTAGTGCATTACCATATTGACTGCCATACAAAAAAAATCAGAAACTTTTCACTGGGGTCACAGTGTTTTATTACGAGAATAGAATAAAAACTTTGAATGTAATTTAAAGGTAAACATAAATAGAAAAATGAAATATATTGACTTCTATTCATTTAATCCATGTTTCTAGAATTAAGTTGTTCATATTAATCGTAACAATAAGAACATTAACAAGATTTTATATATTCTTCACGTGGCCCTGGGGTTAAAACTAGAGTGAGTTAAATACAACTATCATGGCAGTTAATGTGTTAATAAAATGTGGCATATGTATACCGTGGAGTACTACTCAGCTATAAAAAGGATGAATCAATGCCTTTTGCAACAATTTGGATGGAACTGGAGACCATTCTTCTAAGTGAAGTATCTCAAGATTAGAAAAACAAACACCACATGTACTCATTGTTAAATTAGAACTAACCAATGAGCACACATGTGTATGGAGGGAAGGTAAAACTCAGTGGAAATCAAGCAGGGGGGAGGGAGAGCAGAGGAGGGGCAAAAACCTACCTAATGCGTACAATGAACACTATTTGGGTGATGGGCACACCTATAGCCATGACTCAAGCATTACAAAAGTGATCCATGCAACTAAAAACATTTGTACCCCCTTAATATTTTGAAAGAAAAAAAAAAAGAAAAGTCTGTCACCATTTTTATTTATCAAAAGCATGTTCAGTTGCTAGCTAGAGCTTCTGATTAGTGGGCTTGGGCCAGTGAGACATAATTACAGCCAAAAGCAAAGAAATTTGATATTAAAATTTTAAAAATTTACGTACAGTGAAATTGACTTTTTGTGTGTATAGTTGCACATATACACAGATGTACACATGTACATATATATGAGTATAGATTTGTGTAACCATCACCACAATTATAGCCTATACATTTAACAAAGTGAGAGACTGAGGCTGTGTGGCTTTGAAATAGAGTTGTCTTTATCCGTAGCTCAGTGTTTTCTGCATTATTCAACTTTAGCTTCTTCCCCTACAAATACTCTCTGGTCAATTCAAGGTGGCCTGTTTAGCATTCCCTGTCATTCTATGTACCTATCTTCTTCTGGTCCCTTTGTGTAGGACAAACCTTCTGCATAAAATACCTTCCGCTCTCAGAGAAAAGCAAAGACTTGTCTAAGTCCCACCTTTCTTCAAGAAATTAAGTTCTGGCCAGACACAGCGGCTCACACCTATAATCCTAGTACTTTGGGAGGCCAAGGCAAAAGGATTGCTTGAGGCAGGAGTTTGAGACTAGCCTGAGCCAAGAGTGAGACCCTGTCTCTACGAAAAAATGGAAAAATTAGCCAAGCATGGTGACACATTCTTGGAGTCCCAGTTACTCAGGAGGCTAAGGCAGGAGGATCATTTCAGGCCAGGAATTTGAGGTGGCTGTGAGCAAAAAAAAGAAATGAAATGAAGTTCTGCTTCCATGAAGCTTTCTAATTGCCTTTGATCATCACTCCCTTTTCCATACTCTTACAACGTGTATATTAGGTTTATATTTATCTTTGCATTATGACTTATCTTTTAATATATTCATATTTTCTTTCCTATATACTGCAAATGGAAATTTTATCTTCTACTTCTCATTTCTTCAATTTCATTTTCATCTAGTAAAAATTTGCACAATTAAAGATTTCTTTTTCTTTTGGGAACATTCCAGATATTTCCTTTAGTCCTCTAACTGTGGCGATATTCTCTCTTCTTTCTACTATTTGTTGTATAGTTTTATTTTTATTTATTTGTTTTTTTGAGACAGGATCTCACTCTGTCACTCAGGCTCAAGCTCAGTGGTGCATCGCTCACGGCAGCCTTGAACTCCTGGGCTCAAGCAATCCTCCTGCCTCAGCCTCCCAAGTAGCCAGAACTGTAGGCCCTGTACTATCATACCGGCTAATTTTTTAATTTTCGGTAGAGACAGGGTCTCACTATGTTGCCCAGGCTGATCTCAAACTCCTGGCCTCAAGGGATCCTCCTGCCTCAGCCTCCCAAAGCATTGGGATTACGAGTGTGAGCCACCACACCTAGCCTATTGTTATATAATTTTAGAGGCCCAATTAGATGGCTCTTTTTCTAATTTAGCCATGGTTGCTATGGGAAAAAATATCACTAACTGAAACATAATATCTTTGCTGGCCATCAATCATTTTGGTCTGTCAGTGTCTGAACACTTTTCCTGTTTAGGGAATTCCCCATCTTACATGTCTGCTTCCTGCCTTCCACTATAAAAGCTGAAAACCTTGGATCCTATTTTTCCCATCCACTTTTGCAGCTGGCATTCCACCTTTGAATCAGAAGCTAAAGGTTCACAGAGGAAAAGATAGCACAGAAATTGGTGGTGGAGGTAGCAACAGTGACACCTATTTTCCAAGGATGGCCTTCAGTAATAGTGAACTGCAAACCGTGGAATGGTTATGTTGCGTTCACCAGGCAGCTTTTGTGGCATGATTTTGTCTGTGGGTTTTGAGGCCTGATTTTTCACCCTTCCCGGTAGTCACTCAGTGCATTTCTTTTCTACTTACAATCAGCTAAGATTTGATTCTCTTGCTTGATAGGGTATCACAGAGCCTGAATTTAGAGCCCTGCATGGATTCTTGCCTTGGCTGTGTCCCAAGCTGTTTTACCTTGGGTGAATCAGTTAAATACTCAGATTCTTCATTTATAAAATGAGGATATTTTCAAAGTCTTTTCAGCACTAAAGTTTTATTACTTTTGTTTCTGCTAATTGGCCAGCGGGATACTGATGTGATCACCATTGGCTGCCAAACTCATCAACAGACACAACCAGAATTCAGCTCACAGTATTTCAGTATGGTATTGTTCTTTTCTATTGTAGCAATGCCTGGGTGCTTGTGCCTGTATTTAACCCTATTGGTTAGCTAGTGTTTACTGGTACTATGCACTGCTTGCATCTTGACAGGTGTAAAAATGTTCTTTGTTCTCTGTTTAGTGATCTGATTGAAGGGAAAAAATGCTTTAGGCACCAGTAGGTTTCAAGGTTTCTGTGGTAATGTTGATTCAGGCGAGAGCTTTTTAGTGGAGAGTTTAGATTCAAAGTCATAAATTGTAAAAATTACATTTTAATGCAGTACTGTTGGCGAGGAGATTCAAGATTTAAAGAGACCAACCCTTTTATAGTTTTTTTTTTTTTTTAACATGTGCATCGTGGAAAAACTAATGTGAAATAGTTTTTCAGGAACGCTAACAATGAATGCTTTATAAGTGCCATCTCATTGTAGGGCTATAGTTAATAGCTCTGCAGTTGTCTTCAAAGAAAAAAGAAGGAAGAATAGGGAGAAAGAGCTTGGAGGTCATCTACATTCAAACCTAGAATGGAAATAAATGGAAAGAATTTCCTTGTGGCTTACCCCTAATTTATGTCCTTTAAATACAACATGAAAATAAAATGAAATAAACATTAATTTTACCTTCCATCTTACCTTAGTAAACTCAGATTATTTCTTTATGGTTTCATTTGTGACCATAAAAAATTGATAATTTTTTTATTTGGGCATACGGGTCTCAGAAGCAGCAGTGGACACTGGGTTACCAGTGAGAATGACAGATATTTTATTGGGAGAGCTTTCTTTATTGCATCTTCTAGGAAAAAACATGGACAGGGTTTATTAATCAGTCATTCAAATTTATCAAATGCCAGACATATTAGGGACTTCACCTATGTGGCAATGGCGAGTTTTCTATTGAGTGCCCACATTGTGCTGCTTGCTATGGAGTTAAAATAAAGTATTAAACAGTCCTACAGTGGTCTTTAGATTTAGCTGGGAAAATATTTTTAAAATTAACAGATGCAGACTAAAATCGTTAATGGCCCAACTGTGCAATACTAAATATAAAAAATGCAGCCAAGTTTGAATACAGAGATGACTATATGCTGGAGGATGTAGGGATATTACCCAGTACAGGTGGGACTTGAGGGATGTGCTTGTAATATTTTGAGAGGGGAGCAGGACAGAGGAGGAGAACCATTCAGGAAAAGTGGCATAGGTGCATCATGGTAAAAAAGAGATGAGAAAACAGAATGAGTGTGACGTATACATACAGGAATGAGAAGGAAATTACTGGACTGGGGTTGGTGATACTAGTCATATGTGGTAAGTGGACAGTTAGTGTGGGTGCTGGCTTAAAGGTTGAAGCGTTTATACTTGAAATAGGCCATCAAAAGGTATGATAAACATTTGTTTCTAGAGCATATTAGAAAAGCTTGTTTGATGTATCATCCTGCATTCTCCTGCTTTTTTGTTGTTTATTTTCAGACTCCCTCGAGCCCACTTACCAGCAGCTTCAGAAAATGAAACTGGACAAGAGTCCCTTTGTGGTCGTGTCTGTGGTTGGGCAGGAACTCCTGACAGCCGGCCATCACGGGGCCTCTGTGGTTGTCTTAGAAGCCGCTCTGAAGATTGGCACCTGCAGCCTCAAACTGAGAGGTTCTGTTTTCTCTGCTCTGAGCAGTGCTTACTGGTCTCTTGGAAACACAGAGAAGAGCACTGGATACATGCAGCAGGACTTGGATGTAGCCAAGACCTTAGGTAGAGTAATGCTTCTGTCCTTTATTTCAGTGCAGAAATGAAACAAAGCTGATTAGCTTGCAATGAATGGGAATGGCATATGCAATGAAAAGCGAGTGTCTCTAGAACATTCTCTGTTTTAGAGTACTCAGGTCCTTAGAGCTTTTTCATATAATAAGATATCGAGGCTCCCAAAAGATCAAGAGATGTGGGTTAATATACTCAGTGCCCTCCTCAGAGATTTGGGCTCACAAATTTAATATCCCAAATGTTAGCATTGGTGGGTGAATCTTTCTTCTTAATTTTAATTTTTTCCACCATTAGAATGCATCATCATTTGTCAGAGGAGATAGTATAATGTAGAGGTTAAGAGTGTGTACTATGGAGCCAGACTATTGGAGTTAGAAACCTGGCTCTGCCACTTACTAGCTTTATGACTTTGGACAAGTTTCCTAATCTCTCTGTGCACCAGTTTCCTCATTTGTAAGGTAAGTATGGCTTGTGATTATGATGGTCATTATGGTGATTATTCATGAATTTACAGGATTGCAATAAGAGAAGGGATGATATGGTGAATATACCACCAGCATACTTGTAAAGAAGCACTGTAATATAGTAAGTTTAGAGTCAAATGACTGAACCAACAAACTGATGATTGTTCAGAATCAAAGGTCATTAGCAGAGCAATGAGGAGACTCAGACAGCAGCTGGTTTGTGTCAAGGTCTTTAATGTCTTATTTCCTGGACACCTAAGTCCCTCAGTGCAGTTGTATTTTATAACAGTAATAACTGTTGTTGTCCAGAGATTTAAGCTCTTGGACTATAACTCCCCACATAGGATCTAGTGTAAAAAGCAAATACTTTTCTGAAAGAAGGTAAGTGAAATCTTAGCTAATATAATAAATCTGTGGCTCTTAAATTAAGATGTCTTTATATATTATAAGTAATGCTATAACTTAGAGAAATTTTATCTTTTTTTTTTTTTAAATCCAATTCAGGTGACCAGACAGGAGAATGCCGAGCTCATGGGAATCTAGGCTCTGCATTCTTCTCCAAAGGAAATTACCGAGAAGCTCTCACTAACCACAGGCATCAGTTGGTGCTCGCCATGAAACTCAAGGATCGAGAGGTAGGAAGTTTATCTGCAGACCAAAAACGTTTTTTTTTGAAACATGAAGTCCTTTTTCTGTTAAAAAAAAAAAAAAAAAAAAGTTTCAGGTACCTTAAAATATTATTTTCAGAAGTTGATAATCATTGATTCTGTCTTTCATCAACAGTCAAGTGTTGGATGTCAACCCCATATAGCCCTTGGATAAGAACTTGTTCCTGACCTAAGGATCTAAGAGCTTGATCAGATGGGTTGTTCTTATTCTCTTCAAATGTGCTATGGAGTAGACCTACGTAAAATTAGCAAAAAGCTATACCGTCATGACATAGTCATTAAATTTTAAGAAGCAAACATTATAGTTTTTTTTAGATCAGGTATTAGTTACTGTAACCTCTTTGGATAACTCAGAAGCATATTAAGTTTGATTGAAAGACCTGAATTGCAATCATAAAGAAACATTCTAATGTTTCTTAGAGAAATAAAATGCAATATTCTCGAAGAATTGATATCCAGTAGATGCAGCATGATGAGAAACTATCTGTAGAGTGGAAAGAGGGTGAGGTTTAGAGTCAGATAGACCCGGTTAAAACCCAGCTGTAGTACTTCCTGGCTGTGGGATCTTAGGGTAGTTATTACTTAATTCTTCTTTTTCTTCTGTTTTCTTATTTGGGAAATGATGATTATTCTATTTATTCCATACACGATTGTGGTAGGATTATAAATAATACACATAAAGTGCCTATCATGGTGCCTGGATTCCCATAACGTCAGTCCACAAAGGAATGCTATAATTGATAGCTTTTATTATAATATTATTAATAAATAAGAGAAGGTTAATAGCAGGGGCAACAATAAGTTTAAGAATCAAGTGGAAGGTGCAGTCGGCTCAGGCTCCTGGTCCAGCAGGCCCATCCTCCTACAGAAAAAAAAAAAAAAAGAATCATTCTGTGTGTTGAGAAATATGTTTAGTTACATTTTCATCTCAGAATTCCACTATGGGACATTATAAAGATTAACTATATTATTTAAATAATCCGGCAACTTCATGTTTCTGGAATATGGTCAGGTACTAGGAAGGAATTGGGGAAGAAAAGAAAAGGCTTGAAAAGCCACTAAAACAGATCATTCAAGGGACTTTTGGCACTTACATTCTTTAGAGAGTTGCCTGAACACTTTTTTCATTGCCTATTTATTCTTAGTTTGCAAACAATTCTTATAAGTCAGATGATCTGATTTCTTGATGTTCAGGGAATGAAATGAGGGATCAGACATCTAGAGACAGATTTACTGATGGCTTTGAGAAGTGAGAGATAGGTATAAGAACTAAAACAGCACAATTATCTAGATAGGGCCATTTAGTGAAGGGATAGCTGTTAAATATGTCAAAAGCTACTCTTTTTTCCTAACCTTCAAGGTGTATGTATTAGCCCAATTACTGGACATGATGGAAAGACTTTTGATAGGTAATACCATAGGTATAAAAAGGGGGAATGAAATTTTTCTGCCTTCCCTCTTCTCAATAGTGTAATTTTTTATCACCTGTGTTCTCTGGGTTTTATAAACCTCTGCTGTACAGTATGTTCTTTAAAAAATCATTGTATTATGAGGATGGAAGGGACCCTGAGATAATACTGGTACCTGTTCCTTTCCCCAAACCTTCCCATCTCAGAGTTGTCACCTACCACAGTCATCCCTCTCCCCTCTGTCGCCCTTTGCACAGCCATCACTGTGGTCGTTCACAAGCCTGCCTCTTGGGAAATTTTCCTTTTGTGTAAGTGAGAGACCCTGGGGCTGATTTTTAAACCTTTAAAATTCCCACAGAGGGGAATTCTTCTCTGTGAGGAAAGAATGTCTAGTTACCATAATCCTTTTCTAAGTTGAATAATGTTACTCATTTTCTCCTCAAAGCTTCTGATTATCAAGACTTTAATAATCTTAACGACTCTATTCCAGTCATTCCCTTTTCACACTGGCCCGCTTAGGTGGTCAGTTAGCCACAGCTTGCCCACAGCAGAGGCCTCCTTCCGAGTTGTTGCTGTTTAGCCCACGTGCCTGCTTGGTACTGCCCAGGCATATTTATCTGATTCCCAGACTGACCTATGGAATTTCTCATTTCTGTCTCTTCTGTTGTGTTTGCCTCTGGAATTATAGAGTACTATTCATTTTCTTGAGAAATTTAATGTTATTTTCTTACCATTTTTCTTAATTTTTTGTTCA